ACTAAAGATGCAATTTTTATGATTGTGAATTAGTTAACACAACAAAACACACCTGCCACAGTTTTTCTAATGAAGTATAAAACTGAAAATTAAAACTGCTTAAGGGCTGAAAATGTTCTGAAAAGCCAGCACATATGTATTATGGTGTTATAAAGCTATCTGGATATTTTAGGGGGTTATGGGGTCAAAGCCCAGTAAAAAGAACAAGAAGCGCATATTTAAGATTTCTTGCATACTGTTATTTCAGACATTGAGATGTGGAATGTGCACAAAACTGTCCAAACAGATCACTTTTCAGATGCAGGCAGGGTTTTCTTTACTGCTTTTCAGGTGACACCTGCACGGCAGTTCGAGGGTTTTAGAGACAAGTTGTGGTTTTTTTTGTGGTTTTAGAGCAGTTAGAATGGAAAACATCCGCGCCACCTATCATCATTTTTGCCAACCTGCATTTCTACTCATTCTGATTTAACCGTCAACTGCAAGCTAGAAAATGTCTTCAAACTGTTACTTAAATGACATATTAAGGGTGAGAAGAAATAAAAGCATAAGGAATGAATAAAGGAGGAGTGGAGAGCATGGGTAGAGGAGGGAGAGGTAAAAATTAAAGAGTTGGACAAAAGATGAAGGAGGAGGAGGAGAAGGCTACACTTGTCCAAGCTTAACTTCTTTTAGGAAAAACTTAAAATGCGCTTTTTCTCTTCAGAGTTCCTGCAGAATTTATCCCATGCTTGAAGGTTTTTCATCTCAGCGATCATATCTGAATTCTGATCAAGTATCTTACACCTTCTTCTGCTGCTCTTCATATTTCTCTTTCTGTAATTTCATTGTCTTCATTCACGTTTTTGTTCATTTCTTCTTCCTTGTCACACAAAGCTTGTTACTCATGATTTTTCCTCTGCATTCCTTGAAGCATGCACTACATGCCTTTTGGTTTCCATCTGTCGTTGCTTCTTCTCCTCAGTTTCAGTGTTTTCTCTTCTGTACTCTGTTATATACTCCTTGCAAATGCACATTTTTGCTCACCATTTCTTGGATACTACACTACATCACTTTGCATATTTTCTCCAAGTTTTACTTCTTTTCCTCAATTTCAATACTTCAAAATATAAAATACTTGCAGTGCCCCATATTTTGTCTGAAAGTCTTGGAGAATATGCTGCAACCCTAAAGTCAAAGTCCTGTGCTATTGCTTGTGTGCATAGTGGTTTGAAGTTTTTTCAGCCTTTCACTTGCAAAGCAATCAGGAAAACAACACAAGAGCACATGCAGTAGTTTTACTCACAAGCCCTTGAGTAGCCAGTGGCAAAGCTGGGCAATGTGCTAGTGAAGGAAACAATGAAGGAGTGCTGCAGCAGCTGGCAGCAACCAAAAACCCTCTTGAGAGATGTCAAGAGACATCTGCAGACATCTGTGTTCCTCTATGCTCCATCAAAAACTCCAAGGACAGCCCCCTGGTCAATAACTTTAGCCACCGTACACAAATATCTCTGTCCACTCACATTATGAAGCCCGTTAAAAAACACTAGAACCACCAAAGTGGGTCATTTTGGCCCTTTTGCATTTTAAAAATCACGTAACTCTGTTAAAATAAAATAAAAAAACAGTCTTTTCCTAAAAATCGTATCACAGTATTCATCAAATAGTGAATTTTGGGGTGTGTGGGATTGAAAAGAAAAAACTAATAGTACTACCATTACCACCATACCTAGAACTGTTGAGGGTGTAGTGTTGATGTCATAGAAATCGATGAAAAAGACTGATATGCTGGGTTGCCTTTGGCACTTTAACATAAGCCAAACCTAGCTACGTGTGATTGATAAAAAAATATACAGATCAACGATCAATGGTCATGACAATTTG